AAATATATATTAAATTAATTAATTATTAATTAACTTGTCATAACATCTATATATATAAATAATATTTTATTAGTTTAAATCTATTAGTCATGCATATGAGATACTTAGTGATCCTAAGAAACGTTCTGTATATGATAAATATGGTGAAATGGGTGTAAATATGTTAGATTCTTTACCAGATTTCCTTCTAGATCCGGATCTTGATGGACCGTTGTGTATGCTTTTCACCTTACTTTCCTTTTCAATCATTCTCTTGATCCTATTCTTCACTTTTCTTTCAATACGAGTTGACGGAAAAGTTCAATGGAGTTTCTCAATTGTTTTTATACCGATATGGTTCTTTGATTTTGTTGCGTTATTGATAACATTGGTTAGGCTAAAAAAGGATCCAACTGAAGAGGAGCATGGAACTGATGACGAGTTTGAAGGATTGTATCATGAGGATCCTGAGATTAGGGAGCAAGCTAGAGAAGCTAAAAGAAAACAACAAAAGAAACTGACTCATTTAAGGAATATATTATCCGTAGTATATCTATTGTTGAATTTTGCTTTTCAAATATTGATTGTTCTTAAGGCTGATGGCACGTTCGTACAAAGTACTGCAATAGTTTTTATCCCTTATTTCATTATAGAATTGATAAATTTATATCCAAACGCGATAGAATTCATTGCAATTTTAAAAATTTATGATTCAATGGACGAGGCAAAACCTTCAATTTTAACAAAACTTGGGATATTATGGGATACTTTCTGGTGGTTTATACTTAGAATTGCATTAGCGGTCTTGATTGTGCTTAGAATCGATGGAACTATCACTTGCAGCTGGGGGGTTGTTTTTATACCTTTGTATCTGGTTGGTCTTCGATATGCTATTTGGATATTTTGGCAATGGTCAGCCATAAGAAAAAATGAGAATGCTGATCAAAAAAGGGTAGACGTGATCATTCGGAATATATAATATATAATATTTTTTAAAATCAACCACTTTTGAAACAAATCCTAGTTCGATTAAAAACTCCAAACCTCCACTAATATCTTTAACATTTGCTTTGAATATTTTATTTTCTTCTTTTAATTTACGTTTAACTTCATCTCTTGGTGATAAAATAATATTATTAACAATTTTATATAATATTGAAACACATTGATATGCCGTCGTGGGATTATTATTTCGACTTATTTGTTTTATAATAATTTCATCATAAAGGTTTTTACGAAATTTTTCGTTTGTCGTTGTCATTTTATTTTTATTTTTTAAATGAATTTATTTCTCTAAAAATTTTTCCCATTTAAGCGGTATGTAGATCATATTCTCATGATTTATTTAGTATAAATTTATATATATTAAATCCGGACTTTTTTTCACAACGATATTATAAGTACTTTTGGACTAGAACAAATTTGATCAACCATTGTCTATCATCTCTTGCAAAAAAAAAAGCTGATAAATTACCATATTATATTGTTATTACTATTATTATATATACACGTGTGCTAAGTATATAGACCCTATCTCTTCGTTAATTGAACAAAGATAAACAATTGTCCAATTAATAGTTCAAATATAATTAATAATTTGATAGAAGATATAGAAGATATGTATATTATCATCCAGACTCTCCCCTCTCTTTACGAATTCATAAATTCAAACCTTTGAAACAATATGTGGTAGGTAATATGATCAGGGTTTCTTGATATGGCCATAATCACCGCCATGTAACAGTTTGGATGATATTAATTAATATTAATTAATATAATAATAATAATATTATTATTTACTATTATTTAAATATGCAGACAAAGGTGGAACATAAAATTTTTCAGGGGTTAAAAATTTTTTGTAATATGCTACACAAACGGCAGTTACTATTACTAATATTTCCAAGACCATTTTTGAAAATTAGCAAGGTTGTTCATTTTTCCTTCTATGTACGTCACCATTACATATTTGTTGAATTAACCAATCGGTTTGTGTCAACAGTTGATCTCCGACCTTCTTTTAATTAGCTCTGGGAAAAGTACTTAACACACGTCCAAAACTCCTTCCGAGTGTTCATGGAAATATTTGATAAATAATTCCCCACTCTCGCAAAAATTAAAGATGTACTAGTGGTGGTAATGGCTGATTGATGAATTGATGAATTCAGATAACTAAAAACAAACAATACAATAACTTCTTCGACAAATAACTCAAATATGGTGTATATATATGGTCAAGTACCATTCATTGCAATTAACAGTCAAACCTCGCTATAACTTAATTAAATGTGTGCTATAAAGAATTTTGTCATCCGCATATAAATTTCTTTATAATGCGACTAATAATTCCATAACGAGACGAAGTTTGACCGTGAATAACGTCTTGCTTTTTAATATATTAATATATGGTTTTATTTGTTATACAGAAATGTGTAATTTTTAAATTTTGGTCAAAATTTTAAAATTTTAAATTTGAACCCTTTTTTTATTACTCTTCCTCCTCAAATATCCTTTATGCCCAATGGAAGAAAAAAACTTGAATGATAACTTGGATTTTCTTTACTATTTGTGTACAATAATAATAATACCAAAGAAAAATAATAATTTTTAGTTATATCACAAGGAAAATATTTTTTTTTGGGAACTAATTTTTTTTTGCTAATTATGAATTTTCGTTGGTGTTTTATGAGAGAATTGTTTTGATGAATTGTTTGTTGTGACGAAAATTTTTTTATTTTTGTAATGGTTTATGGTGTGAGTGAATACCTAATCTGCATTGGAGTGTGTGTGATTATTATTTGTTAGGCTGATGATATATATCATTAACTAATTATATATATATATATATATATATTAT